TATTATATACTTATATTATATTATATATTATTATAGTAAAACTCTGATTATCCAAATTGATTTGTTCTGCACGTGATTTGAATAATTGAAAATTTGAATAAATGGATAACATGTAAAGAATGAAATTAAAGGGTAGCAGCACAGTATTGTGCATGTACTGTATTTATTTATTCATCAATGTGCAAGTAGCATTTGTTTGGATATGTGACAGCAAACAGGCATATACAAAAAAAATCACTTCAGGTAAAAAAATAATGCAGCAAAGATTGCTTAGCATACAAAAATACAATTTATAGCAGCAAAGTCTTGCAGATATTTTAGTGTCAACAACTGTGACACAGTACATTCATCTTGCCTTTCAACCTTTTACTGCTGTCTCAAGACAGTTAAAAGCCTTGTTGTGTGATGGTCCAAGATCATTGTTTAATTCTTTTTCTGTTACCTCCTCTTCTTCAGAAGTGTCCTCTCCTCAAACACTTTCTATAATTTCTTAATTGTTCCAAATTTGAAAACCATCGCATCACTTCTAGAAGCATCCAGTTTTTCACCTCCTGAATTCTTCACTCTGAAAAACCTGGAATACTCTCTATTATCTCATCAATGTCATTGCAAGATGTTTCATCTGCAACCTGGACAAGTATTTTTCATGCTGTGTAAGTCGCATTAAACATTTAATGAGTCATGAAGTGATACTATCTTCCACAGAAATATTTGTGGAACTTGTATTACTGAAATATTCTCTAAGAACTAAGAATAATAAATGCATCTGTTAAGTACTAACTTTTTCTTATAATTATTATTGTCATTAAGTAATAAAATTAAGATTAGTAATTTAATATTCTCAAATGGAGTTGGTTATTTTGTATATAAAAGTTAGATATAAAAAAAATTTTTTTTTTTTCAATTATAAAAAATTTCTTACAAACATTAAAAACAAAAATAATATACAATGGCTCTAGTTTATAAAGTTTTTAAAAATTTTATATTATAAACATTTGTGTCACAAAAACAAAAAAGCAATTATATTAGCATATAAATCATACATTATTTGAATAAAGACCACAAAACCCAGGATTATCTTCATTTGAAGCTCAAGATGACCTACAAAATAATACATAACTTTTTCAAGTCTATTCTTTTTTTTATCCTTTTCAGAATCCAACACAGAAGTAACAGCAAATTTGAAGATATAACTAAATCTTCATTAAAACAGCAATAATAGATTTTTTTAAAAATTTACACAAAGTTAAAAATGATCAAATACCAAATCCTAAAATAAAAGGTCGGCATTTGATCATTTTTAACTTTGTGTAAATTTTTTAAAAAATCTATTATTGCTGTTTTAATGAAGATTTAGTTATATCTTCAAGCAAATTTGCTGTTACTTTTGTGTTGGATTCTGAAAAGGATAAAAAAAGAATAGACTTGAAAAAGTTATATATTTTTTGTAAGTTGTCTTGAGCTACAAATACATTAGGTTGTGTGAGCAAAAAGTTTGAGAAATGCTGATATAGATCACAGCATCCTTCCCAAGCAACTTTTCCCACGCTCTATGCAAAGTTTCTTGCTTAATATTAATAGAATTCCATGAATCAGCTAGTGTATACATGCATTCCTTAATATTAAGATGCTTGTGAAATTCCCACACATCATTTCTGTCACTGTCATACAGCAAGAGCCATCACAAGAGTTTCGTATGCTGGAATTTCAGAGCTTCAATAATGCCCAGATCCATTGCTACAAGAGAGATGTTATATTTGGAGGAAGAAATGTGACTTTAAATTTTCTTTCTTCTTCTGTCATATTTTTGTTTTTCTGAGTTCAAGACATGATCAGAGTAGGATTTGCAACAAACATAAGTGTGTTCAGATAATTGAACATTTGGTTAATAAGCATTCTACTGTAATAATAGAATCCATTTGTTCTGTTGTTAGAAAGTTCTGTTGTTCTGAAAGTTCTGTTGTTAGAACTTCATATAAAATAATTATTTTATATAAAAGTTTTAAATAATTACAAAATATTGATATAATTATTTAAATATTTTCTAAATTATGTCATCTTTTTAATATTCAAAATAGAAATAAATCATAATGATGCAAAAATACATCTGTGGCTTATGAAAGATTTTTAATGTTTTCCAAAGAAATTTTTTCTAATGTTTTCTTAATTATTTTAGACAAAAGTAAAGCCATTTGATGAGTTTGTAATTGCGATTTAAAATCAGCACAAAGCCTTTCCATCTCATAACTAACATTTCTTTCTAAAGTGTCTTTTTCAAAGACAGATAATCTTTGGGGAATCCAAAAAAAGTATAATATATAAATAAAATAATTAACAAAATATGAACTTAGTTTCAGAAAATTTTATTAGAATAAAAGAAATATCTTAATAAATGTCAGCATAGTAATTAGAATATGATTCAAATATACACCCACAACTGCCGTAAATGATCAGGCTAAATTTGGATATAATGATTATAATCATTGTATCCAAATTTAGCCCGATCATTTACGACAGTTGTGGATGTATATTTGCTTAATATATCGGGTTTCAGTTGTGTATATTTGTATAGAATATGATTATTTTTATATATATATAACTATCAGCAAACATTGTGATGAATTAAATTAATTTTTAAGAGAATGTGACACAGACTTATTATTATTATACAGCATTTGAAAATTATATAAAGATATGTATAAGATATGTATATATATTTATAAATTATATATCAAATAATTAATGAATAATTTAAAAATCATTATTAAAACCTTAAAAACTTTAACTTGACAAGAAGCTGCATGCAATCTGACTGATGCTCCATCACCATAAGAAAAAGTTTCTATTTGAATTCTAAATGGTACTCCTTTCTCACCTCCGTGTTTCTTTGGCGTAAATTCAGTGCTTATGCAATTAACCTGAAAATATTTTTAAATGTTTGTAAATAAAATTTTAAACAAAAAATTCATAAATCATATTTTTAAAACAATTTATATTTAGATTATTATCGTTTTCCAACCCCATTACTCAGCTGGATGGCCAAGTGGTCAAAATGGCAGCCTACTGTTCTGGGGACAAGGGATCAAATCCAGATGGGTTGAAAAACCCCAGGGATTTTTCAAGTGGTGGTCCATCCTGAAATGTCAGACCCCATCCCTCACGACCTGGTCACCCTATTGTGGGCCTGCTAAATAATGGACCCTCTTAGTGCCCACAGGGTGGAAACAATTAAAAAACCATAACTGAAATGATCATCAATACTAATTCCTCTACAGAAATTTTTTTTTATTCTCTTGTATGAACTGATGAGCTTCTGATGATAACATTTCACTGAACATACCATTATAACATTCAACTGAAAATTAATTTAAACTTTGGAATGTTATACTGGAAGCTTTTTGACTTAGTTGTTCAATTTAATGATATTAGAAAAGCATCTGATGATGAGCAGATCTAGCTCAAAAAGTACTTTATACAAGAGAATATGCATTTCTTTTATATCTGCTATTTCTCTGTATATGCAGCATTTCTTGATAATAATTTATATTTATTTAAATAATGAAGTTATTAATGGCATTATTATGATATTACAATCTTTATACAGTGCAATCTCAGTACTCAACATATATGGGATGGGAACAGTGTCAGTTAAGGAGATTGCCAGATTGCTTAACATTGTTGTTTGGTATTTGTTAAAATAGATACCTGATGATGTTTGTTAGAAATGGACAAAAACATTTGTATCAATAAATACGTTTATTCCCTTTACTGGTTTTGGGTATATTTGTGTGTGTTTTTTGTCACATACAACCAGATTTTGAAGAAGTAAATGTATTTTTCAAATATTAAATGAAAATAAAAAACTGAAGTTTTAAATAAATATACAATATACAACCTTCTACATATTCTTCCCACTGAGACAGAGAAATTTGTGAAATAATGATATTTATTTATATTCTTATCTCAATGACATTATATTAATTAAACTATCAACAACCGTGAGGCAGATAATAGTGAGGGCTTATCAGATCAATGATGGGCACAAACGCTCAGGAATCAAAGTGAAAACAATTTAATAAACACAAAAAATTACTACATAAGTATGGAAACAAAAACCCAAAATGTATTTTGGTGTTTTCATTTTGATCCCTGAGTGTTTGTGCCCATCATTGGTCTGATAAGCCCTCACTATTATCTGCCTCACGGTTGTTGATAATTTAATTAAATTAATATAATTATACCAAGGGCTAGAAGCAACTTTTGTAATAATTTCGTCAATGACATTATTTTTGTTGCAACATGATACAAAATGATAAAATGCCATATATTTAATGGACTATCTAATGCTAGCTATATGACTGTATATATTTTATAAAACATTTATATATATGTGAGAGCCTGAATTTAGTAAACCCTTTTTTTTTCTATAAACTTTTTCACATTTGTTTTTAAAATAAAACGAAATAACACTTAAACTCATGGGAAGAAAATTCTATTTTTTTCTTAACACTTAATAAAAACACTGGAAGGATATGATCATATCTTTCTCTGGATTCACTTCTTTTCAAAGGTGACAGATCTTACTAATATATCACCCAGAACCAATGATCAAAATTCAACTATTAGCCCCAATGTATAATAATTCTTAATAAGGTCATGGGAAAAACATGAAGGACCCCCTAATAAAAAGGAGGGGTCAATGACAATCGAAGTTCCCCACACCGATAGTTCTGTAAACTGGTGTGCTTGCCAATCCCTTTTGGCTACTGCTCAAACCGTACTCATCCTTTGCCCTTCTCAAGACATCAGAAAACATTTCCATCCTTCAATTCATCGAAGCTTCTTACAAACCTTGCAGATCAGGAGTATATCAATCCACTGATTCTGCAATTCCAATGAAAGAGGACCAACTTCTACTAAGGTATTTGCTGACGTGCGAATGATTGTAAACTCTCTCTCTCACGATAAGTGTCGCGATATTAATGATAAGGTTACCCCTTTCTCCCTATATTGTGTTATAAAATTAGCAAATAAGCTAAGCATCTTAAACAACTTTGTACAGATTTGTAAATAATATAGATAAATAAACGGGTATTTGTTAAATAAAAATTTGTGGAGTGCACTTTTTCCAGTTGTCTCAATCTGTCTCCATCCCGAGTCCAAGCATCTACATATGCAACTGCTCATGCAGGAACGTAATAACTAATGGCCATCGCGATTTCCATGTCCGTTAAGATATGGTGGTGTTAGTCCTGACGAGGCATCAAAGAGGTGCTGACCCTGCAGTCACACATATATCTAGAAAAAAGTTTGTTTAATATTCATGTGTTATTGATTTTCACACCAATTAAATTTTCATTAGATTCTATAATATACAGGTATCCCTTGTACGACATAGCATTCCTACAACATGGTTTGAGAACTGAGGACACTCTCTGTACAAAATGGTATTTTTACAACATAGTTTGAAAATTGGAGACATCCCCAAAATGTCACAATATTTAAGTGCAAACACCATTCAATATTTTTTTATTCAAGTAAGCATATATGTTGTCTCATATTTGTATGTGGATTTTAGAATATTGAAATTTTCAATGTTGATTCATGCCTTTTGCCTGGCTTCTTTTAATGAGAACGATTGTACAATTTTTCTTCTTCCTTGTCCTAGCTTTCCTATAAACTAGGTATCACTGCTGTTGGTGATAGTGCTCTAAATGAATCTAAAAGATTGTCACTGTGTTTTGTTTTTATAGATTAAATTAAAAGTTACTACATAAAAAGATCAAATTTTTAAAGATCTCTTAGGTAAATGCAAACAAATGAAAATTTCAGATTTTATGAAGAAAGTAGAGAAAAATCATGATGATGATACTTCAGATTAAGATCAACAGGAAAGCTCTGATGATGACAATATTTTGCCAAAAAGAACATCCTTGTTTAATAATGTTTAGCAGTGAAGAAAAGATTAATATTAATGCGCAATACTTTTATTGTGATTGTTAGTTAATTATTGATTGCTTTAATAAACATATTTCTCTTAATTACAAAAAGAATAGTATATTTTTGCTAACATAACTCTATGTTTTGTACTAGTCCTTTGTTTCATATAGCACAGATTTGCATAAGACTGCACTTTTATGGTAGCTAACTATCATGTTATATGAGGAATATCTGCACATTGAAAATTTTTGGAAACAATATATCAAAATACTGTTTGCAATTTTCAGAATATTTCATTTTATAATCTGCAGTCTATAATAAGTTTCAAATCCTGACATATTCAGTAAAATGTGAATAATATGTTGTAATTAAATTTCAAAGTTATAGTAATGATTATACATATTCATTAACATCAACTGACATATACCAATCATTTCATTAAAAACTTACCCGTATAAAAACTCCTGTTTCTTTTGTTGGATCCCAGAGAAATTCACATCGATTACAATTTTGAGAATCGCTAACTGCTTCATATATACCATAGGATAATGGAATGTCTAAAAAACAAAAATTTTCTAATGAAACTTTATTATTTGCATGATATATCCAAATGTTTAATATCTATGTTGAAAACTAAATTAAATAAAAAAATAACAAAAATTATTAGCTTTAAAGCATTTTAACTTATAAGTTAAAATACTTTATAGCTAAGAATATCTGTTATTTTCTTTTTGTTTATTTACTATATACTTATTTTAATTATCAATTAATCTCATTCTCATTTGCTCTAATAAACATTAGAAAAATTTTGATTTTTATAATGAATCCATTTTTGTTTTTATATATCATCAATTTCTTTAATTATTTTACTGTATTTAGTTAATAAACATCTGCAGTTGGTTTTTAATATTTTATAGATGAAAAATTTAGTATTTATTTTATATTTTTAGCTACTTAACACGTTTAACGCCATGCGACGCGCGTGCCGTCGTAATGGAAATTCCCGTACAGCGCCATACGACCGCCGGTAGACGTAAACAATGTAGTTTTACTCAAGGTTAAATTTTCCTGGTGTCGTACGACGTTTTCTGCATGCTTAGTGCTGGCCTCTCGTGGACATCTATTCAGTTAGCTTTGAACGCCGGCGGTCGTATGGCAAACCAGTTCTAGCTACAACCGCCGGCGCGTCGTGTGGCGTCACAACGCGATACAAGGTCGGCGGTCGTAGTTATTTTTTAAAATAAGACTCTATTTTTTTATCTGATAGTGGTTTATTTTAATAGTAAATAATTTAAAATATCGAAAATTAGTTTAATTATCCTCTTTTATCGCATATAAAGTAAATAATATTATTAAAAAAAAATTAAAGTATATAAGTGAGTTTTAATATATATTTACAGAAAAAAAACATCATTTGCAGTCGAAACAAAGTGTGAAATACTTTAACACACAGATGTAAATACTTTTAAGTAGGGAAGGACGTCTAATTACAGTGGGGTTGTAAAATTTATTGTCTGGGAAAAAGCAGTGTCAGGTTCAAGGTCATACGACTCCCCGGTTTTTCTTTATATATACTTTTCTTATCGTCGCTCTCCTGACTGTTGTACATCGACCCTTTTATTTACGTTATAATCAATTATTAGATATCAAATTTTCATTTTTTGGCCCCCCTTGACAGAAAGTATCATATTACAACAAGCAGTTAACGTGTTAAAACATTTTTATAATACTAAAACTAAATTAGGTAAAAGTATAATCTGTTAATATCACAATTATTACTTTAATAATAATTATCATATGCACATAACTATCCAAAAATATTCAGCACAACCATTCTACACACATAAAGCTTCAACTACTTCTGACGTTTCTTTGTAAAGCTTCTAGAAGAATGACCTAACTGCTTTGCCAAATATGCAAACTGTACTAATAATACAACCTATAAGCAATAAGACAAATTCACAGGTATAATATATATAAATATATAATATACAATAGTCCATTTCAAGAATAATGGCTGGGATGGGCAACACAAAATTTTTGAAAAGGGAGTTTAGAAATATTTTAAAAAAAGCATTTGCAACTACAGACTAATGCATTTAAAAATTTCTTTTTAAATTGTATAATATACATAACTATCAAGAAAGTTTGATTTTATACTTGCTTTTTGTTTTTTTGTTGAATTTATTCTCAAGAAGTAAAGTTTTATATTAAGAATAAATACTAAGGTGTCCATTATTTTTTGAATATTTTTTTTCTAACACATATGGTCTAGTTTTGTTTATTTTGTCCTTAAATATGTGCACAATAAATTTCAGCTCATTTTGGTCATTAGAACCCATGCCGACTTGCATCAAATCACGTCCATACATGTTGCGCTAGAGAAGTGGTGCATATTTGCTTTGTTCACCATTCTAACACAACTTGTTGGGCTATTAACAAACATTTTTATTTTTCAAAGATGTCAGTGGAATTACAAAGTGCTAAAAAACATATTTTCTTAGTCAGAGAGATAAACCACCAAATCATGGGTGCAAAATTACTGTCAAATCAGCAAGTACTCGCAGTTTTGTTTTTTAACATTTGCAAAGTTAAATTAACTGTGAGTGAAAGTGCAAATTTTGTAATATGAGAGTGTATCATATTTTGGGAAAAAGCTAGAATACCTACAAAAATCTATACCTAACTGTGTCAAGAAATTGGTGGGTCTTTATCACGTATGGAGAGAGTTGCAAAAAAGCAATAAGAAAACTCAAGATGTTTATAAGTGCCGCAAGAAAACTTTCCAAACAGATTTAGATAACTTATTTGATATTGCACACACCAATGCCCTCAACATATGACAATAGAGGAAGATAAAAAATTCTTATAGAAACAGAGAGAACCGGGACGTCCAGGCTGCTTGTCAGGTGTAGATAAAAAATTGGCCGAAAAAGAAGAAAGGGCAAGGCAAAGAAAAATAATAGTAGAGAGAAAAAGGCTCAAAAATATTTTTATCAAGGCTGCATCGACTTTTTCAATATCACATGATTTATCACCACTCCAGGAACTATATGACAGTTCTCATAGCTCTGACAATAGTCTGGATAAGGTTTTTTCTCAGGAATTGAATACTGTGCTGTCTGAAGCTAGTGTAAAAAGAGGAAGAATAGATTTCATTATGCTGAAACTAGTTGCAGCTTTATACAGATGCTAGTTGAGCATTAGAGATTACATTTATATTCTTCACGCTACAGCAGAAGCACTAGTGTTTCATACTGATGAATTTTCAATCAACAAATCTTCACTTCAACGGATTCAGACACAAGTGAGGAAGGACAGAGCAGAAGCCATAAAATCTGATTTTCAGGATGATGTGCCAGAAGTAGTCATCGTTCATTGGGATGGCACATTGTTACCTGGCTTGAATGTTAGAAGTTCTAAAGAAGAGCGCCTACAGATTCTTATTTCATTTGGAGAGAGAGAACAACTGCTTGCTGTACCAGGGCCGGATTAACCCACTTTGGGGCCCTAGACATTTTCTTCTTACGGGCCCCCCTTTCTCACACTAGAAATAGAGCGCACAAAAAATATAAAACAATAAATAAAACAAAACTAAATAATGTGAAAAACTAAAACAAATCTTAAATTTTTATTAATAAAAAATATTTAATACACAACAATAAATTTTAGTTTTTCTAGAAAAGTTTGAACAGTTTGTTTATAAATTTAAAATATTGAAATTTGTTTTATTAAATGTCTAACAAAAGTTGTTGTAAAATAACAATATTACCTTAAAAAAAATAATTGTCAACAAGACTATGTCTTGTTTATAAAATCGTACTGCTTGCTGTGTTACCAGCTTAGAGGTATGAAGGAGTACATGTCAGGAGTTGCAATTTGGCACAGAGTATTAAGTGCCCAAATCATGCGCGCATAAAAAAACCTGACTTGTAGGTACTCGGGACCGAGAACCGAGTGAAAGTAAAATACAAAATGGCGACTCTCTCTACAAACAGGCAAACCGAAGTCAGGTGGTGAGAGTACCACCCACAGTCGTTCAAGGAAATGGACTCTGACCCTAGGACTGAACACGTAGTATTTTCTTTCTTAAATAAAATTTGTAATCTAATTTTGTAAATTTGGGAGTGCTTCAAATATGACATTAAAACAGGGTTTTATGTCGTTACAAGTAGGTTTTTTAACATTGTCTAGTATAGTAAAATCGTGGGACCAGTAAAAATTTGACGTTATAATCAGGTTAAACTGTATATTGTTTGTGCAAAATAAAAAAAAAAATTTCGGACGATACAATAGCCACGATTATTTTTTTCAAAGACGAGAAATTTTCGTTAGGCATCGACAAAAATTCAACCCGGGCCGACACGCAACGGAGAGAAATTTCGAAATTGGATAGGTTAATTTCATCGAAAATGCATGGTGGACGACCTCGTGGTCGTGGCTGGCGAAGTTTGAACGATCGCGCCCAAAAGCAGCGATACCAAAGAAGATTGGAGAATGAGAAAGAGATCCGCTTTGAGCGTCAAAGTGATTCCGCTTAGTAGTGTCTCCGAGACATAGTCGTGTCCCAAATACGGTTTTGCCGTTTTACTTGTTTAATTTAACCTTTTTGGTTAATATTTAAATAATATAATATTTTACCAGTTTTACCAGTATTATACAGTTGTCCAACAGAAGAGTAATCTATCTTATTTACAAATCTTTTCAAAATAGACAGTTTGACCGGGCCCTTCTAAAAACCGGGCCCTAGACATTTGTCTCATTTGTCTATGCGATGATCCGGCCCTGTGCTGTACCAATACTGGACAGTTCTTCTTGTAAACACCAAGTCAAAACAGTTTCGAATGTGCTCTATGATTGGAATTTAAATGACAAGGTACAAATAATGTGTCACAACATATTACACATTATTAACAGCGTACAATACGGGTCGCTTAAATGGAGCTTGTGTGCTATTAGAACAAAAGCTAGAAAGAGAGCTGTTACTCTTTGCTTGTCACCATCATATATATGAGCTAGTTTTAAGAAGTGTATTTGAAACAAAAATCCCCCAAGTTACTAACAGCTCCGATATTCTGATATTCAAAAAATTTAAAGACTCTTGGAAAAGCATTGATTCTATGAACATACAAATGTGCATTGATATTGTAAAATAACATTTCAATGATGCAAAAATTGATCAATTATCATTTTTTTATGTGAAAGAACTTCAAAAATCTATTGTGAGAAATAATTATCATGAATTAGTCAATCAAATTCCCCAAAAATATAATAGTTATCTGTCATATTTTTGGGGAAGATTATAAAATAAAATAAAATCAGGCCTCCGGGTGCAATGCATCAAGGTGGATGGCTAGAGCTATTTACTCTTTGAAAGTATGTTTGCTGCAGTCTCAATTCAGAATGAATGCCAATAACAAACGAGCATTGCAAGACGTTTGCTTATTTATTATAACAGTTTACATAAAACCCTGGCTTGGATGCAGTTTGGCAGTACATGTGCCATATCAAGATTTGTGCTTTTTAAAAACATTAAAAGAATATGAAAAAGTTGACA